TGACGTACGCCTGTCTGTCTGTGGTTAGGGTCCCCTGCGGGAGTGAGTTGTCTGTTATGTTCAGGAGGCAGGATTAGGGTGGGCCCTATCTTGAGTCACTGTCTTTTTTTAACCCAATAATCACCCTTCCCACTCTTAATCAAACGATTACCCTAAGCAGCCTTACTGAAATCAGCCCCTTTTCTCTTCCAAGAGAAAAGAGAAGAGGGAGACTAATCCAGAGAGGGGCCTCACGCCTGTCTAGAAGAGACAGAAATGCAGCACACCCCGGGGTCCCCCAAAGAGAACCTCCTAGACCCAGAGAAGGGTTGAGGTCAAGAGCACCAGGCCCACAGATGTTGAAAGGACACAAGCCCCTCCCCAGATCCAGTGGAGGGAAACCTTCCCCCACAGCAAAGCTCTGCCTTTGGATTTCCAGCTGCCTAAACTACAGGAAAATAAACTTTTGTTCCTTAAAACCTCCACTGTGGTCTTCTGTCCTGGCCGCACAAGGGAGCCAAGATTCCAGGTTACGCGGAGTCTTCGAACACCCGCCTCCTCTCTGCTTCCAGGAGACCAGGATGCTGCCCAGTCCTGCGATCTATCACTTCCCCTGGGAGGTCCGTGCCGGCCACGTTCCTGACGGCAGCTCACTGAGAACGTTCGGCAGGTGAGACTAGCGGTTTTCCCACCTGGTGGGGAGGGTGTTTCTGGGGTCCCTGACCAAAGAAAACAAAAAACCCAGTTACAATGGTTTTATTATGATTTTGCCTAATTATAAAAAAAGACATATTAACAATATGTATATTCATTGTACACAAGGTGGAGAATCCATAAAGGAGCAAAGAAAAAGCAAAACTCACCTGCAGTCCTACCACCCAGTCCCTGCTGAGACTCCTGGCGATTCTCTGGGGAGACTTTGGGGGCGTGTGTGAGAGAGAGAGAGAGAGAGAGAGAGATCTGTTACATACAGTATGACACTGACCCACAAATGTATTGGCTTCAAAGTGTCAATGTTTATGATCCCCTAGTTGCTATAGGGGAAAGACGGGGCTCTTCATTCCCACAGAGGGTTCCAGTCTGAAGCCCACAGGGGCAGTTCCGCCCTGTCTTAGGGGGTTGCTGTGAGTCGGCATTCCATGGTAGCGAGTTTGGGTTTTGTAGTGTTCGTTGTTTGTGTGGGTTTGCTTTTGAGCTGCCGTAGGTCAGGAGGCGTAGGTCCACTCTCGGGGTTATAGTCAAGATGTTCCCTGGGGCCACAGCCTCTAAAGGCTGGGCCAGGACTCAACGAGCCGCTTCTGAGGTGACTGGACAGGTGTGGAAAGTTAGTGCAGTGCTGGCCCAGCCTCACGTCTCCCTCTCCGGGCTTCTCCGTCGGCTGCTGAAGGATGTCCGGTCCGGGCGCTCCGGAGGAAGAGTGGAGTGGAAGCCATGGTGCTTTTCTGAGCTGGTCTTGAGACCCCCTCAGTCGCTTCCACGACAGACCCGCCCCTCCCGCGTGGGAGCATGGAAACAAGTGGAATCCCAGGCCATACCTGCCCAAGGACGAGTCCTTGGAGAGGAGGCAGGTCACATAGGCCTCCACCTGTGCGAAGGTGTGAAGGAAACAGACCATGTGTCCAGGAGACCTCTTCTCCATGCTGGCCTGTGGCCTCTCAGCCCCGCAGTCCCTTGGCTTCTACCTTGCTCAGACAAGCCATACCAAGACAGCTCCCGGGTGCTGATAAGGGCTCAGCGGGCGTCCCACCCTGCAGGCCAGCCTCCTGCACAAAGAAAGGCCCAACGCTTTACTCAGCCTGTGCGCCCGGAACCCTGCGGCTCCACCTCACATCGCTGAGTTGCCCCTCCGCTGCCTCTTCATACCGGGACCGTGGCAGACATCTCCATCCTTGCTTATCTATCCTTGCTTCTGCAATGGCTCTTGTTACACCCAATGGAGTGGCAAGACGGAGCCATCCCCCCAAATGTATTGGCTTAAAAATATCAATGAATGTTTATGATCCCCTAGTTGCTGTAGGCCCCACCCAATTTGCATGGCCCCACCCAATCATTTGGTGGGTTTCACAAAGGTTAGGTGTAGGAGAGAGTGCTAGTCCAGGTTGACCAGAGACACAAATCTAGAGACATTCATACAGAAAAGAGCTTTAGATCAAAGAGCAGTTGTATATTGAGAAAACATCTCCGCCCAGTCCAGATCAAGTCCATAGTTCTGATATTAGCCCATATGCCCCATATGGGTCTATAAATTCCTCTTTAGACTCACACAGCACATGCAATGATGCCGAATGTAGGAAGATCACAGGCACAAGAAAGCCTTGTGGATCCAGTGGCGGTGGAAGCATTTCAACGCTGGCGCGGGTCTCCACCTGTCTCCTCCAGCTCTCTGAGCGTCTCAACAGCAGGAAAGGGGAGGCAGAGAGAGAGTGCCTCCCACCTCCAGGGAGAACGAGAGGAGGTTCCCAGAATCCTCATGAGAAGGCCACACCCACAAGGAGGCATCAGGCTGTGACCTGCCGGGCTAGACTCCACCCCTTCCCTCTTAATATCCTCCAGTTGACAGGAGATTATGAAACTACCATAAAGAGCTATACTAAGTAATTTCACATCCCAACAACATGGATGTGAATAGCAAGAGATGAGAATCACCAGGGGCCAACTTAAAGACCGGCTCCTTCTTGTATGTACCTACCTAGAGAGCTGCTTGATCGTAAGTCCAAAGTATCGCTGACCTTGCAGTTAGCATCCCAACACGTAACCCACTGCACCACCAGAGCCTGCAAACCTAAGCTACCCCACCCCACCCCAGATGACGAATGAATGAAGTCCACAGTGAGCTACCATCACACAGCCCGTCGATCTAAAATTTACAAGGCGGCAATGCCAGTGTTACTGGGAGGAGGCGCAGCGTCTCCCGCCTCTCCACTCCCAAGCTCTTGTGAAGAAAGAGCTCAGATAAGGGGCAAAATCCAGACACGAGTCAGAGAACAGGTCTGAACAGAGAAAGTGAGTGTCGAAGGGGACTGCGGAAAGGAAATCCAAAGGGCCCTTAGCTAGTCTGAAAGGCCCAGCAAAACATGAAACTGGACCTCATGTTCCGCTAATGGTGGACCTCTCACAAAGCCCGCCTCTCTGGTAGATCTTCTGCTTTTGGCTGGTCCTCTGTAGTGTCTCCCCTCCTTTGAGGTCTGCACATTCCGGCACCCAGTACCCGAGACGCCACGTTGTGCTCTTGTCTTAGACCCAGAGCTCAAGCTTCTAGTCCAGCGGTTCTCAGCCTTCCTCATGCCACGACCCTCTCATACTCCCTCATGCGGTGGTCACCCCCAGCCATACAATGATTTTCGTTGCTATTTCATCACTGTCATTTTGCTACTGTGATGAATCATCATGTAAATAAATATCTGATATGCAGGATGGAGGAGGCGACCCCTGTGAAAGGGGCCGTTCGACCCTCAAAGGGGTCTCGACCCACAGGTTGAGAACCGCCGTTCTAGTCAGTCACTGGGGGTGTGTGTGAACATCCTGTTCTCCCCCCACACCAATATCTCTGGAATTGTGTTCTGTGCTGCCCTCCCCTTCCGTGCTGTGGAAGTGTGTCTCCACCTCCTCTGTGTTTAGAATGCCGGCCAGTTTCCTTCCACTTATCACAGCGGTTCTCAACCTGTGGGTCGCCACCCCTTTGGGGGTCGAACGACCCTTTCACAGGGGTCGCCTAGGACCATCGGAAAACACATATTCCCAGGGGTTGGAGGTCCCCACAACATGAGGAGCTGTATTATACGAGCCCCCAATAAAAGGATTTTTTAAAAAAAAGAAAGAAATCGATGACATATTGATGGGAGCGTCTTGCACGTTTGTCAGAACTCTGGAGCCGAGAGGCAACAACAGGAGCACTCGATTCCAAGGCGCGTGACGGGGAGGCTGGTGGGGAGCGAACATCGAGTTCAAGGAAGAGGAAATGGCTTGGAATGACTGTGGTGCCGATTGTCCAACTCTTGCGAATGTGCCTGAGCTGTTGCAATGTTCGATCTGTGGTTAAAGCCCAAGCACCACGTGTCGACCCAGACCCTCAAGGTCGGGATCTCTGAAGTGCAGAAAGGCCTGGGAAGTGGTTTCCATTTCTCTGATCCGCAGGGGGTTGGTTGGTTCCCAGCACCGTCGCTGCTTTGTGGGGCGTCCTTTCCACCTTAACCATCGCGTGTCCCCCGATTTCCAGATTGAGCCTCTACGACATGACCCAGTCCAGACTGACCCTGGTGGCTCGGCATGGAGCCGACCAACACCAGGTCCTGGTCTGCACCAAGCTGGTGGAGCCCTTGCAGGCCCAGGTGGGCTCCCTGTACATGGTCCTCGGGGAGCTGGAGCTCCAGGAAGGTAAGCTGGCATCGCCCACCCCTCTGTGTGCTCGGGCACCCAAGCGGGGCAGTACCGGTCTCTTGGATGGCTCAGCGAGGAAGGGCCCACAGGTGGATGGACACGTGGGCCCTAGAGCAGACTGAGCGACAGTGAGAGACAGTCTCCCGGGAAGTATGCAGAGGATGGAGAAACCACTCGTTCCTGGGGGCTGGCAGCGGGGCAGACCTGGGGTGGGGACTCGCTTCCATCGTGCGAGCTACAGAGAAGCTCTGATCGTCGTCATCATGGCTGGTTCAGACACGTGAAGATGGAGCTTTGACAGCCAGTGGAGGAAAGATAAGCAAAGGGGACACACGCACACTCACACACAGTCACACGCTCACATTCACACCTGCCCCAGCACACATACACATGCTCACACACTGTCACACACACTTAACATGCTGCTTTGAATAGCCATGTGCACGAATCCTGGCCCATTTTCTGATTATTTCTTCTTCTTTTTTTAATCATTTTATTAGGGGCTCATACAACTCATCGCAGTCCATACATGCATCAATTGTGTAAAGCACATTTGTACATTCATTGCCCTCATGAGTCTCAAAGCATTTGCTCTCTC